TAATCAAGACATCTCCTGGATTCCGACAGTCTCCAAGTCTTTGTCGCTGATCTATTACATCACCAACTACGCCACGAAAGATGACGTCTCTCCCTGGCAGATGGTTGCCAAGGCGGCTTTGTTGAAGCAATCTATTGAGAATGCAAAGGTTGCTGAGCCACCAACAGCGACAGATCTCCGACTTCGAGAAAAAGGTGTCAATAATTTTGCACTACGCTGCTTTAATGCCCTCTCTCATGACCGAGAGATCAGTGGTGTGCAGGTCGCTAGCGTCTTGCTTCAGCTACCAACCTATTACACGATCAGCTACAACTTCGTCCGTATCAACCTCTGGTGGCTAAGGCGTTATATTCGGGCAATCATTCAGCCAGATAACCTTGAAAGCGGCCCCTCTTCTGATCCCATGGCAGAAGAACCTTGCACGTATGAAACGGGCGACACCGGCCCCGTAAGCATCTTTGACAATTATAAGTGGCGTGGACCGCACCTGGCTCCTCTTTCATTATTTGAATACTGCATGCTTGTAAAGACTAAGAATATACGCGACGCTGTTGCGAATGACGTGGACTTCGAACCAACCCATCCTAGATATGGCACGCATGTACAGCACTTGGCGCGCACAACGTCCCAGGTGGCCGCCGTGACTTTCAATGGACAGTTAACGGAGTTCCAGGCCGCAGAAGACGCGATTCCGGGAGGCCATCCGAAAACGACTGCGATTATAAATGACATGGCTGAGATATTACTGGGCCTCTTTGTTCCCTGGGATCACTTGGTTGATCTCTTCCGCCGGCATGCGACAAAGCGGGACGCCCATGTTCAAGTATGGGCGGCCGTTGAACCAACCCTCCCATTTCACAATCGGGGATTTGCAAGAAACATCGAGTTGCTGCGGAAGTCTAAGGAAGACTGCCAAGCCGATGCAAGCTTGTGGAAGTCGGCGAATGGCGCAGCTGATTCATTTCACCATGACGTTGACGGATTTGAGCCGCCAAATTTTGCTTCTGATGGCGACGAGAACGATGAATGCTGTCAACTACAGGATGAGACTTTTAACACCGAGACGTTGATCGCCGCCTATCACTCCATCAGGAAAGCATGGCATCGAGAGACGCTGGTCACTGGACGCCGGATTCCTCCCTTGCTCCGCGCCATAACCCCAGTGCGAAGCTTGCTACTACAGAACCTCCGGCCGCTGGATATCTTTCATACTCCTGCATACGAAACATCTGGCCTAAAGTACCTCCCACCATCCACTTTACAAGCGTGGGAGGTTCACCTGAAAAGTTTCGCCAATCTTGATCATGGGCAAAGCACAGATCGTAATGCCACCAGCTCTAACTTCGCACTCGACGATTTCGACATCCAGATTGAAGATGGCATCTTGGAACCTACACTGGTTGGCTCATACACGGTCCCTGCTATGGATGACCTCCAGTCCCGGGTTGACCAGAGTCCCACTGGCGCCTCTCTGGCGTCCCTGGTCGTTGAAGTGATTCCCCTAAATCAGAAACAGCTAATGGTCGTGGAGAGGGTGCTATCTGAAGCTTTGGCCTGGGCGGACCATCCTTATGACTCAGCGCAACGCAAACAGACCCTCCTGTATGTCGGAGGTGAAGGGGGCACGGGGAAGAGCCAGATCATCAAGGCAATTGATGCTGGTATGAACCTTATCGGACGAAAACACGAGGTAATCCTCATGGCCCCAACGGGTGCAGCGGCCGATAACATCGGCGGGAATACGTACCACACATCTTTAGGGATCTCTATCGACCGCTCACGGGGAACTGCGATGACATCTCGAGTTAGACGACTCTGGTCTCGCAAGACCATCATGTTCGTGGACGAAGTAAGCATGATGGATCTGACCATGATCAAAGTCATCGATAATCACTGCAAGATCGCCAAATCCCTCGATAGATCCTCCACTGATCTTTTCGGTGGGCTTCCTGTCGTCATCTTCATCGGTGACTTTTTCCAGTTTCCACCTGTTCGGGGACCGGCCCTATGGAAGGAGCCTAGAAGGGGAAGAGATGAGGATGAGAACGGTCGGCTCCTCTGGCATCAGTTCAAACAGGTAATCATCTTGGATGAGCAAATGAGACAATCAGAAGATGCTCCGTTTCGTGATCTCCTTTCACGAGCGAGGGCTGGAACTTTGACAGAAGCCGATCGAGCCTTTCTTAACAGCAAGACCATCACGTCCCTGGTCAGCCCGCTGTTGGAAGACGCCACCACTGTCGTGAAGTTAAACTCTCTGCGTCACCAGGTAAACCGCGTTCGAATTGAGCAATTCGCGCGGACCCGGTGTCAGAATGTATATGTCTTTCCTGCGCATCATACGCGGACCAGGTCCACTGGCCCAATAAACCTGCGACTCCGTGCAGACGACTTGCTCCAACAGCCGGACCAAGGCACCAAGATCCCTTTCCCCGGGCTCTTTTTGTACACGCCGAATATGCCTGCCGCCATACTGACGAACATCTGCACCCTGCTCGGCCTTGTCAATGGAGCAGCGGGGACTGCTATAGGCATCGTGGTAGATCCTACTGGTGGGTTTGTCTTCACGTAGATAGTCGCGAACCTGACCCTCTGACACCTCCCTATAAGCCGAATTCTTTGAGATTGACGACCTCTATATCATGTGCACCAAACCACCTGCCTGCATTTTATTCAAACCGGACAAAGCAAAAGTCACTGGATTTCAGGACCTTGAACCTTCAGTCCTGCCAGTCTTTCCATTAGAGCGATCTATCACCCTGAAAGGCTATTCGGTCCGTAGGAAGCAAGTTCCCATGTGCCCAGCTTTATGCCTCACTGACTATAAAGTGCAAGGCTCGACCCTTGTGGCTGCTGTCCTCGACCTTAAAGATGACCCCACGATCCGGGGACAGGATCGTCACCGGAAGTATTGCTCGATGTATGTGCAGCTATCCCGACTGCGTTCCTCTAAAGGCCTTCATCTCCTGCAGAAACTCGACATGCAAGATCTTCGATTCAGACCTGATCCCCGACTACTAACTGAAATGCAAAGACTTCAGGACCTCGAGAAGGAGACGATTGCTGCTTGGCGTGAAGCTTCAAATAAATGAGACCGTGCTCCACCATAACAGAATAGTCCTTGCGATGAATCAACGTAAAGGTACTCGTTTTAGACCTCAAACTTTTGGTAGACGAACACTCGTAGCAATATATACTAAGGGGCCCCATCCCGTGATAAATAATTCAATTTAACTTTACGGATATATTTCTACGCACATGCTCAACCAATCACCCATTTTGCCCACATCGTACTGCGTGGCTTGGCATACATATATTTGACTCATACTTTTATCCGTGCATAATTATTATCCGCGCCCTATCAAAAGCAAGCGTTCATTGTCATACTATCTCTTCAAATCCAGTTCACTTCGTCAACCCTTTTCGTTTCAGGGCCACAGCGTGCGCAGCGCGCGTCTTCCAGTGGGATTGACCACTAGGCTACATTGTAACAAGCCAAGAAGGCACAATGTTTGGTCAACCAGTAGCGAATCGGACGTGCACGTCTGGCGCTCTGCCAAAAAAATTTCTATCCTGAGTCTTCTAAGAATGATCTCTCGTAGGACAATAAACACTGCACACGCAGTAACATGGATTGCCTGATATTCTATAAGCAAATTGCACACTTTGAAAGGGTTGGCATAGAAAATTATCTATTATAAGGCTTTGAAGAGTTATTGCGAAGCTGGAGAAGGGAAGGGTGGGGGCTGTGCGCTTGGGCAGCTGGCAGGTTCGATGCAAACCCGGAGAACCCGTTGAAAACGCTAGACCCACATGATTTAAAAGCAGTAATTACGGTCGCTTTGGCTCACAAAGCCCACTTCTATTTAGATGCCCTTAGATAACACAAACCAAAGCCAAGGGTGGTAGTATTTCTCATCATTCATAGGATCCAGGAGATCATTGGCAGATATTTCATGTGCCATTCTTCTTGAATAGTATCACCAAAGTACTCTGGATCCACTCTCACTCGTCGTGCCTTACAATACTCCCAGTACGCAGGATACCACCCAGCCTGACCCCAGTCAATGATCGCTGCTACTTGTGGATTCGACCCAAGCGATAGAAGGATGTCGGGTAGAAAAAAATCGCTATGAGTGAAAACGATAGGCACTTCGCTGTCGATCTCAATTCCGCAAGCATCTTGAAACAGTTGAATGGCGTTCACACCTTGAAATGGACCTGCGAGTTCTGGGTGGGAATCGCCGAATGCCTCACTCAGTGGTTGCTTACCGAAACTGCCTGTGGAGTAGATTTCAGATTAAGGTTGCTTATGTATTATATCCGAGGGAATGCACGTACCGATATAACAGTCTTGCTTGTCCTGCGTTAAGGCCCTCCATGTTTTCACAATATATTTTAAGTTGTTCGCAGACGGCCCGTCTCTTAGCGTCATCCATGCCACTCCATCTCTCTTGCAAAGTCTCGCCCTCGATCAAGGACATGTAGATAAAGACCTGTCCTTCATCCTCAGTCCAGCCAAAAATCTCAGGAGTAGATACCTGTCCTTGTAGTTGCTCGCGTATTCTCATTTGAGTTTGAGCCTCGGTCACGGTCACGTCGGCTCCGTACTTAACCACCAGTCCAAGAGACGGTATCTTGACAAGAGGGGGCGGTTGAAATTTGTGGCGTAAAGATTGCCAGAATTTTTGTTGATAGCTCTTATTTCAACTGGCGTAGGGAGTGCAGAGACTCGTCTCTCTCTGAGAAAGCTAGACTCGGGAAAAATATTCGTTACGACGGGTGAATGGGGTTCTAACCCAGTGCTTGATTTCGAAGTATCAGTGGTCGAGATGGGACATTGAGGAGCGTGACAGTCAAGTTGGGAAAAGAATAGTCGTGACGGGCAGCGATTTGAGAAATGGGTTCACTCGATGGCTGCGAGACGATGCTAGACGCCCTCAACATTACTATCGCACCAGTTATGTTCTCGCACTAATCTGCGTACACTCTTTGCCCTCATGTGCACAACGTCCCCGCATGTGTTCCGTCAAAACCAGGGAGTTGTCATCGCTTCGTATCACCCTGCTTATACCAGCTGCGATGACCCACCCCAGGTTTCCATCGACGATGTTGTCATCCACATACAACATATTGGTCAGTTGGTTGGCCACCGTCAGGTTGGGCTGGGATCCGTTTTTGATAGTATGGTGGCGGGAGTCCGGGCGCTAGAGGATGCCAGTCGGTATTCCGATCTCATTCAGAAATTGTTAGATCGGTGGCTATCGGTGGAGGATGTAGCCGGTGTATTATGATGTAATGTGTTGCGCGTCATGCATGCCGCAGAGGATGTGGATGCTTCGATGGGGATGAAGAGCCTCCGGAGGATAAGGTGAAGCCTTTTTTCACGTAGAGACAATTCTTCAAATCCAGTCATGCTTTAATGAAGTACGAAGCTCCAGCTCCTTCTTTTAATTGGTGCCCTCAGGGTGTCATTATTCAAGAGCACTTGAGAGTTTTCCATTCAACTATTGTGGAGATCACTTCACTCGTCTGCAGAGGTTATATTCCCGCGCAAGGTGACATTACAATCCGGCAGCCAATTTGTTGCATTTAATGAAAAACATTTAGCCACGATAGATCGAACTTATTAGATTAGACCATATATATGACAGGCTTAATTAATATGAATTCAGTCAACGATTCATTTGCACGGCAAGTGTTACCTCCGACAGGCACAATATGCCTGGAAGATTCAAAGTCAAACATCTATGCACATCTAGCATTTTTGATTTACGTTCACTCATGGCTCTGCCTGGATTTGGATGACAACTCCAATTGTTGACACTTGGTGATGCGATCTGCAGATCCGATATGCAAAAGTTGTAGACAGCTCAGGGTCGGTTAAGCTGTTCGCGCCGATAAAATAAAAGGAACCCAAAACTAAGCGGACAGTTAGTACGATTCTCGAATAGAATAGGGAAATGTCACTGACCTGGCCAAAAGCTGGAAGAAAAGGGCGGCCCAGAACCACGCATTGGCTACTTTGTCCGTTGACGAGCCTACATCCGGAGAGATGCCTGCCGGACCGACATTGTTTGGAGCAAATCCACGGGCACAAATGGTAGCGATAGACCCAAGAATCTGGGCGACTAGTAGGACGAAGCAGACATGGACTCTGGTTAGGGTCTGCAAAAGGATCATTCCCAGGCCGACTTGTTGAATCTCATCAAGGAACCCCAGCCAGAGCCAGACACAGCGAGAGGCGAGAGCCCCGGAGGTCAGACTGCTTGTCCACGGGAGGTAGAATCCGATGTTAGAGGTTCCCCACCAAGTTTGCGCCCAGCGCGGTGCGCCAACACTTAGTCCGAAAACGGGTAAGATCCAGCTGTGCTCTTTGGATAGGAATCGGAAAATGAGTAGCGCAACTATCCAAAGAATGACAAAGAAGAATACCACTAAAAGTACCACCTCCCATGTCTTGGCATGTTTAGATGACCACAAGAAAGACCAGTTCCGGCCAAACGCCGCAGCGAGGAACCAGTTCTGGATAATGACCATGAAGAAGAACCAGAGAACAATACGCCGGCGGAAGAGTGACGTGTCAAAAAATAGGACCTTTCCAGGAGATTGACGATAGTATTTCGGCAGGCCAAGAGCAAGTACAACGCCAATGACAAGACATACTGCGGCGATAGGGATCACCACAGCAGTGAGTTTCCATGTATTTAAAGTAGCCGTAGAAACGCCCCCAATCTCTACCGCAGTGACCCTGGAGCTCCAGTACCACAGTGCAACCGTGTAAATCTGTTGGATTCCCTGGATAAGACTTGCGCGGAACATCCAGTCTTTCACGGGAATTGCACCCTGGTCGCCAAAGTTCAGCGCAAAGAACAGAGATCCACTGGAAGAGGCAGCCGCATAGACGCCTGCGGCAACATTCTGTGCCCATGCTCGACCGAGACTAGTGATCCCGAAGGGTGAAACGCCGATGACCATGAATGCTAGAGAGTATAACAGCCATGGGAGACTGAGGACAATCACCGATGGGAAGCGGTAGAAGAGAGTCCACCAAGCGATAGTTGAGACGCAATAGATGGTCGCAATAATGTAGAGCTTAACAGCAGTCTCGCCTACCTGACCAACGAGAAGAGTTACCTGTGCCGAGTTTGTCGCGATGATCTGGCCAAGGCCCAAGAACAGAGCGTAGACAGGCCAATTTCCAACACGGCGTCTCATAAACCTCTGGATGGCAATCGGTCTCTTGTATCCCAGCCGAGAGAGCCATTCATCAATTTCACCAAGATCATTAGTTTCCAGCTCTCCAGGAACCCGAGAAACGCGAGTATACGCCGCATTATCGAGGGCATCCTCCGAAGCAGCTTCATCCAGTGCACGTTCTTTAGGCTGAACTTTCAACTGCGCGTCATTGTACATGTTGAAGAATTTCCGCTCGCTCTTCATCAAGTACGTCTCAATACAGTAGTCCGTGATAGAATTTTTGGTATTCAGCTTGGTCAGAAGCGTTTCGAAGTGCCGCGTGAAGTGACCCATTCTGTCAGTAAAGGTTGGATCGACCTTCTGCAGCTCGAAGACAGATTGATCGTGATCGCCGATGACAGACGGCAACGAAAGAACAGACACATTGCGGATGTGAGAGAGAGGAGCTCTCACTGGAGAAGACTCCCGCGAGACAAAACTTGACGAGTCCGGGGTAGATATCTCGGACCAGCGTGGAGAGTGGCAGCTGTTGTTTCGATAAGAACCAACTTCCTGAGACCCAAGAGCCCGGTTAACGGCTGCCACCGCCTCTTCGGGGGAAATGTAATCCTCCTGTGGCGTGTCGGTGCCTTCGTCTTCAGCGTCCGTGGTATCACTTTCAGCTCTCTGGTCGGAAATTTGACTCTCGCGCAATGACTTCTTGACAAGGCGCTTCCTGCCCTGGCCAGGGCCATCTCGCCGTCCAAGCGAGAGTTTGCGACCCAGAATGCTGCTCCTGTTACTTTCAGTGCCCCTAAGGTGGTCAGCTGCCTGTAGTTCTTGGAGAGATGGGTGAGCGAGTTGTGATGTTCTCACTGGTGGCGAGTCCAAGCCCTCTGCCAGGGACATATCGAGTCTTGGAAGGGCCACCGTTGAGAAATGCTCGTCCCGCATCTCTGAGTATATTTGTGACCGTGCGGGGCCCGCCGTGGTAGTTCGGTTCTTCGCATGATGGATGTGGATTGCTGTCCGTTGCAAGACTTCGAGTTTATGGGTCCATTCAAGGACGGGGAATCGCTGCTTGGCAGAGTTTGCCCGCATTTCCCTTCGTGTCTCTTCTGACGAGTCAAGAGCAGACTTGATTGCCGTTCTCAATTGATGCAAGAGATGACGCGCTGAGTCGGATTCCACAGTATACCACCAACCAGGCATCTGGCCTAGACCCCCAATGCGAGAGCCGATCCCAAGAGCACCCTTCCGTCCAAATTCAACGGCAATCAGTCCGAATGGTTCGTCCCGAGAGGGGATCAAGGCAAAGTCAGCACCAGAAAATACATAGGGAGGCAGGACAGTAAACTCTGGCTTCGAGAAAATACGACCTGGAAACATTTCCATGATGCGCTCCAGCTTGACAGCAGCGAGCCTGCCATATAGGTCGACGATAGGGCCGACACAGATCAATTGAACCTGCGGTCTCGCAAACAATACCGCCGGTATGACATCTGCAATCAAGTCAACGCCCTTCTGCTTTGACCATCGTCCAACGAATACCAACAGATCAGCATTGCGATCCTCACTCAGACCAGCCCACTTCTGTGCCTTCAACTTTTCGCTTATTCGTTCATCGCAGGACTGAATAGGAACTTCCCCGACGGAGCTATCCTCCAACGTGCCTGTGTCGGAGGGGTCTGGGTTTGGGAGACTGCCAATTTTATCAAGACTCCAGAAAATTGGATAGCGAGCCCATGACCGCTTGCTATACTTCTGCGACACACCAACTGCGCCGAAGCCACGTTGATGATATCGCAAATAGCTAGCACCGGTGTGAAGTAAATTGAACACATTCCCGAATTGGCAGTATTTGGTTGCAATTTCAAGTGGTATATTGAACACAGAACAAACTTCTTTCTTTTCTTGCAATGTTCGCAGCGCCCAAAGGCCTTGGAACTCCGCGTTATGCAATGAAAGACAAACGGGTATCGTGCGAGTCGGCAACAGATAAAGCGGTGCCAGGCACCCATGGAAGTCGTTGATATGGTACAGGTCAATCGCCGGTGATCGCTTCATCGTTTCTGCGATACACTGATTCCACGCTGAATAGTAAACTGCACTATCAAGGTCGTCCATACGGGGAGGATAGGGCTCTGCTTTAGTCTGCTGACGAAAGACGGGAGCGTCAAGCAGAACATATGTAATGTTTTCGACTACGTGATACTGTACTTTCACCAAATATGGGTTATCTAGTATCGTAATCACATAAGGCTCAGCAGGCGTGTCTTGGGGATACTCGATATCAGTGACGCATGGAACCACCCAGATAAGATTCTGATGCTTCAAGTTCTGGGACATGAGCTGGGCCATCACACCGAGACCTCCAATCTTAACCTTCAGCCCCCAGTCTTGGATGTCGTATTCCATTGTTGCGATCAATACTGTGCGTCGTTGGTTGGAGGCGCCCGCGGCAGCAATGTCTGTCGACACGGCCGTTTCTGGCATTATCTTCGGCGATCCATCGTCCCCGGCGATCTTGTCTTTAACCCTCCGCCAAAACAGGACTTGTAGCCTACCTTCTTTGACCACGTTACCATCTTTATTGAACTTGACACGGTAAAAGGTTCGGATAAAAATGAGAACACCAGATAAGCCCATCAGGACCGGAAGAACCCACAAGAGAATGAAGAGCACAAGCTGGACCCATCCTGATCCAACTGGAATTAATTGGTATCGCAAGTTGCCATCGTTGAGGGAGATGGTCCAGCCAAGATATGGGAATGGGGGTAAAGTTGTGATATTGATGACGTTGGACGAAAGATACGACGGAGGAAGCTTCTGGACCACAGAGGAGCTATCAACATCGCCATAAACCTCTGTGGTATCCGGCGTGCCTACCTTGTCGGTTCCCCAGACATTCAGCTGTCCAACAGCCGGCCATTCATAGACAAAATCGTACCTCCAACTTGATGTCTCGGAGTCGTACCTCATCCTGTTATCCAGTCCTGCATCGTAGCCATACTGGTTGTATGGACCGTTCCACCACAGATGAGGGAATCTCCGAGTTGCGTCATCATCCCAGTCATAATCACCTTCCTGTATATAATCGCTGCTCCCCGTGAGCCTCGAAAAGTACTGGACACGAATGTGAGTTCCCTTCCACTTTTGATTGTCCGTGCCTGTCCAAGACGGGATATTAATTGTAGTGTTTCCACCCAAATAAGCCTTCCAATCCGACCATGTCCGACCAAAATCGGTTGAGTAGCGGAATCGATCTGCGCCGGCCGCGTTATGCTGGATGTAGAAGTTATCGGCGGATTTGTGCACCAGAGTGGAAGAGTAATTCGAAAGCGGAGACATCAGAGGATTGCTCAAAGGGCCAACTCGAAGCAAAAATTTGTCGATTGAGTTGGTGTGTGCCCCAGAGGCGGAAACGTTGTTAACCGTCAGCTGGTGGATTCCGTGGTGGGCATTGCTCAACTTAGCAGACCACGTCCATACGGTCGGAACCTCACCGACAAACGAATCACCGCTCGTTCTGGCAGAGACATTGGTGCACTTCACACTGGAAGTATCAAGAGACGCAGCGATGCCCTTTTCTGTCGTTGAATTCACGATAATCGCGTTGGTAATGCTGTCACAACTCATCTCTTTTGAATATCCTAGCTGAATTGGAATAGTTTCACCCACATCTTGTGGAGAAATGAACCGAGCGTCGTGTCCGGGAAGAAATTCAGTAACAGTAGGACTTGGCTCAACAAAACTGTCGGCCTCCACATATGCCCGATATTCCCATGGCAGCAACTTCATGCGAGGGACACATCCGTAGCCATCTTCATCTTGGCTATTAGGTCCGTCACGCAAAGTGAGCTCCTCATAAGGATAGAAAAGATTCTTCAGCTTGGTCTTTGACTTGAATGGAGCCAACAGTGCCGTATTTTTGTTACTGCAGTTGCCGCCATAAGTGTCTGTTGCGTTTCCATTTTGATACACCAGCCACAGAGTTCCATTGCCATTGGATGTTTCCGATGCTTCTTTCTGGACTTCAGGAAAATAGCTTCGTAGCACCGACCATAGGCCGGTGACTGTGGGAGTAGTAGAGGATCCAGGAAGGAATATCTCTCTAGTGAGCTGGGAGAGTGTCTCAAGATACAAGCCATCATTGGCAACTGGGTATTGCGTTCGGATTTCGAACATCCTCTTCATGATGTTGCGAATTGGGTGAGCCGGGTTTCGCTGATCATACGTGACGGTGATATCGTTGCATCCATGTAGACCTTTTTCAATGGGAAAGTCGTAGAATTTTGAGGTATTCAAATTGAAACAGCCCTGCGTCCACCATGCGGTTTGGTACGTCATGGGCTGTCGGCCGAACATATAATTAGATGCAGTGGCATCAAACACATACATCGCCTGCTCTTCTCCCCATAGGACAAGTGGGATTCCGGGGAGCTCCAGCGTGATGATATACAGACCGAGAAGGAATTTGTCCGTACCGTTTTTGACTGCCGGCCAGCGGAAATTGTCTTGGTTCGAGACGCCATACATATGCCTCGGATCTAGTTCCCCAGTGAAGGCATTAAGAAAGTCGTTCGTCCGAAGCATCTCATTCCAGGCCTCAATGAAATCAGTGGGCAAGTCGAAATCAGCAACCAGATTACCATCTATCCCCAAAAATCGGGTCATTGAACGATAGATGGTATAGTGAAATGCGGAGGCATCCAATGCTTGCAACCCATCGGCTCTCAAGAAGTGCGAGTCCGAATTGTTGGTTAGCTTAGCGCCAGCACCTGCGTCCTTCGGGCGCTGATCTGGTTGACGCCCGCGGCCGAGGTACAAACTGCCGAATGTGTCTCCAGACGTGATTTCACCGGGAAGGAAGAAATTGTTCTTGCCGAACCGTTTCGCACATTCGCGGTAAAAAGCGGTCATCTCGCTCAAGGGTTCGAGGGTTGACTGGACGGCCTTGTCAAAACGGAACCCGTCGATATCCAAACTAGCAATCTGAAAGCATGAATGCCTGGTGATGACGTCTCGGACCGGCTTGTGCCATTCGCGCAGGCGATCCTGCACGGAGGCAAATTTAGTAAGTTGACGCTGCCAGTCTGGGAAGTTGCCGAACGCTTCAAGCTCTCCATATTGGTCAAAGTCGCTATCATAGCAACCCTTGAGGTCTTCAACTCCACCGGAAAGTAACGGGTATCCCGTCTCATTCCAAAATTTTGGGTAGTTACAAGTTTCGTTGTATTCATTCCCAACTCCGAAATCGGCATACTTTCTATCTGTGACCCATTCAACTTCGTATTCGTGGGCCCGGAAGTCGGCTGAGTCGTTCAGATGACCTTTAAATCCGACCAGGTTACTCATCCTGATTTTTTTTCATAAGCCCAGGGATACCAACAATAGTAGCAGCAGCACCGACTTACGTTGACAATGTGTTATCTACTAGCACGTACATATCCCGGTCGTGGATCTCGGTAATAGTTCGTCTCCAGTCCTCAATCGTGCCGAAATGCATGTCGAGGAGGGTGGTATCGACGGGGGAGTAGCCATCGTAGGCCCAAGGGAGATTCATCAAGTACGTGCCGGCGAAATAAATAGCCTAAATGGATCAGCTATGTAGTTCATCCAAAGTCAGCCTAGCTCACCTTGAAGCCCATGCCCTGGATGTAATCCAACGTGTCAAGTAAGCCGTCTAGATCGCCACCATGACGCATCTGGTTCGAGTTCAAAACATGCTCAAAGGAAGTCCCGTTGATGTCATCATTTGTCGGGTCCCCGTTGGATATGCGATCCAGAAATATGGTATAGATAGGGAATCGCCAGTTGTCTGGTGACGGATGATACTCATGGTCTGGCCATGCTCCCCAATAATCGATTGGACCTTCGGCGGATTTATTCTCGTTAAGATTGTATTCAGCGAGCGACTCAGTGTATGGCCAGCATAACGCATGGACGCTCAGAAACGACAGTATGAGAAATGCTGAGCGTTGCATTTCTGTCGATATATCAGGCCGAAACGCTAGGCACCGGAATTTGCTCGATCCAACCCTTTCGGAAATGCAAAGAAAACAATTCCTCTATGCGTTGAGCAAACAGGAGCTGTAGTTGAAGAAGAGCAAACGAACGAGCTTCAAAAGACATCAAGGATTTTACAACACAGGATGTGAGACTCTTATCAGCCAGACAGGCGTATGGATCGCTGTACTTTCACTACTACCGACCCACTCTGGGCCAAGACATCACTGTATCAATCCACCCACAGGCAGGGTTTTTCCCGCGGTGGGGTGGCGGTGTTCCTCAGTGGTTCGGATTAGCAATACGTGTCTCCAATCCTGGTTAGTTCGGTGTGTGTCTCAGACAGACCCAACAGAGTCCGATCGGGTGCAGCCGACAGTGTAAGCCTCAAATTCGTTTGCCATTATAAGCAAACATGCAAATCGAAGTCGATCCCTGTTTGATTACATTGTTCTGTCTTTGTGTGTATGAGATCCTATCAACCAACTCCCAACACATATCAACATAAGGGAACTGCCACGGTACTATGTAGATGAGGGGAGGTTTTCTCTCTGCTTGCAGTACAGGTATGCGAACTATTTCAAACAGACTTATCTTATCTCTGGTATCTTTCGGAAGCTTGACCGATTGAAACCCGCTAGCTCTTTTTATAGGGGACTGATACAGACAACCCCCCTGCCTGAATTTACTCACCGCCTTTCTCGCCGCTTTCGTGCCGCTGCACTATGTTCTCTAGCAGCATCAACCGTCAAGTAACTTAGTTGCTACATGTACATGTACACAGGTAAACAGATATTAATTCCCTTGAACAAGCAAATTAAAATTGCTCCGAAGTCTAGAAAACTTGCTAATAGTTTGTTTTATAGGAACAGCGTCGAGTGATTTTTTGCCGGTCAATGCTTAGCGTTTGATTTGATACGGTTGGTGGCTTTCGCCCAGGGTGACAATCTGTGCATTGCTGACCAGGCACTGATATCGTGGTTGCGGCTTTCCCGGACTTGTATTGCCAGAAGTCCTGCCATCCTGTCTATGTTCCAATAGAACTCGTTTTTAGCTTATTGTATTTAATGGCTTTTTGTTACGAAAAATGCATTTAAAACGAATACATACAGGTAGGGTGGCGGCTCGCTTGTAGTGGTGGCTTCGCATGTGGATTATAGTGACGCAGCAAATGTTTTAGCACCCTTGTTCAGACCGCTTTTGAGACCGCCTATTGTAAACCGAAGAGCAAGTTAATGATATCTTACCTTTTAAACATTCTTGTTTCAGTAGGAGTTTTTCATAGAAGGTATGATTCAATTCAATACACAAAGACCAAGTGTTTTGTTAAGAAACAAGTTAAAGGGTGTTGAAAAAATCCAAATTTTGACCGGCAGAATCTAAAAGATCAGAGGGGTGTTAAAACATTTGCTGCGTCACTGTACGTTACAAATACTATTGAAGAAAAACCTTGTGTTTTATTTAACGTTTATCTACAATATAATAATCCATAACGTACCTTACGATTCGTAATTATATGGCGAATCATATTGACAACCCGTACGTCCACTTTTAATAACACAAAGAATACAATCTTGTGTTTTTCTCTTTTTCTCATCTGCATAAGTGTATCAGGATCATAATTTATTATAAGAATTATCAAATGGTGGCATATATATATGAAATTGTCTGTTCTACCTATAAAATCAGTTAATGCTGATTTATCTTGAAATAATATTTTACATGTGCAACCATCTGGTAATGTTACAGTACATTTGTAACTACTTAAACTATTTACATATCCAAATTTTTATTTATATACCTAATTCAATATAAACAAGAAATTGACGAGATAACCATGAAGCATGTTGTAACATTTCTCGTGGGGTTTCTGTAGCGGCATATTTGCTACTTCTGTTGTTCAAGGAGTAACAGGATTTCTCATTTAATGTATTTGAACTAACGTCAACAGGATACTCAATTACTCTTAATGCAGTATTATGATTAACTAATGTAATACTACTTTGATTGAATTCAAAAGTATTTAATCTACAATAAGTTGGTTCTACTCATTGGTTAAACCCACTTAAATGTGAAACAATATTATCACGGAAACAATCCAAAAATAATTTTACCTCCTCATCTATAACTAATATTTACTACTAAGTTTCTTGCATAAGTAGTAGAATTATTAATCTCTTGACATAAATACAATCTATAATCGTTAGGAGTATCGGTCAAATACACTGCAATTGGGCCGACCATGCGCCGCCAATGATAGGCGGCCCGCCTAATCCACGGGACGTGTCGAAATCTACTAATAAAATGGAGGTGGGGTGTAAGCTTTGGCAGTCGCTTAGTGAATGCGAGGCCCCAGCCATGCCAAAGAGGCTTCCTGTCCGGGTTTGATCGATGAATAATGTCATCGGCGCGCTGCTGTATCGATGCTGCCGTCGGGGGGCGCGCCGCAGCTATCCATAAAGATAATCCAGTCAAGCAATGCTTTTTCTTGGACCGAGTCCAATGCCTTATTGGTGGCAGGTCGGCCAATTGCTGACCCGGCACCCCGAATACGGCCTAGCAGGGTCTGGTAACTAACGTCGAATTCCCTTGCCAATGGTTTGATCTTCGGCTCATTACGGTCATGGTAAGCGGCCAATGCATTGGCAATTTTGAGCTCATTTTCATCCGACATGATAGCGAGAAGTGGTCGAAAAATGAGCTATTTCATGGAGATATTAGCGGGAAAACGTCATGCTAAGGCCAATATTAGATGCATTGCGTTCTGATTTGCTTACATTAAATAGCTTAGGCAATGCTCTTTTGAATGCAATATTTATGGCAGTAATTTGCTATCAAAAATGCTACGAAAATTGACGTTTTACGAGGTGGGTGAAAAGTATGGTTAGGCACCAAAATAGGGCCCGAAAGTATGGTCTAAAACCGGAGCCCCAACACCGAAGGTGTCTGGGGCGACTAGCTTAGCTAAGCATTGGAAGGGCCCGAGTAGTGATTATAAATGGTTTTACGGGGCACTCTGCCCTCTGAACTCGTAATATTGAGCTCTGTATCTCTTGATAGTCGTGTACAAACGGAATGCAGATGTGAAATCCTTTGTATGCCAAATTGTTGGACCACGTAGTACAGTGATGCAGCAAATGTTTTAACACCCCTCTGATCTTTTAGATTCTGCCGGTCAAAATTTGGATTTTTTCAACACCCTTTAACTTGTTTCTTAACAAAACTCTTGGTCTTTGTGTATTGAATTGAATCATACCTTCTATGAAAAACTCCTACTGAAACAAGAATGTTTAAAAGGTAAGATATCATTAACTGCTCTTCGGTTTACAATAGGCGGTCTCAAAAGCGGTCTGTCCAAGGGTGTTAAAACATTTGCTGCGTCACTGTAATTCCTGACCTGATAGTTGATATACAATTGCTGGGAGGAAAGGCAACATCGGCTGAAACACGAGTCCCTAGTCCGGCTTCCCGAGCAAGATAATGTGCGACTTACTAGCACGGAACTCCGAAAAAGGAAACAGTCACCAAGTTGATCCAGGCCGCTAAGCGGGGAGGGCGAGGAGCTAGGCAAAGAATAAGACTGCTTCGACTGAGGCATGTCTTCGGTATTCCTCGATGTGGAGGGCTGAGGAGAGCAAGTGCGTCTTGTTTCAGGGGTAGATTCTTCAGACTGCTCCGAAGGTGATGAAACCAGGCCATTGTGTAGAGCATTATACTCTCAACGTGGAAGACCACCTGTCCTCAGCATAAGCAGGTTGTACCTTTCAGCATATATCCGCAACGGAGATCCATAGTCCAGCGTTGCTGGTGACGCGATGGCAGTGTGAAATCGACCACTACGCGTTTCGGTAATACGATAACCGCTTCACCTGACAAAATATTGATGCGGAGAAATCTCACATTGTACGTAATATGAATGTGAATATGAATAATGCGTTTATTCGCATTTCTTTATTCTTTTCGGAGCCCTAAGCGTCTCAAGATGCTTCCCCTTTCCACGGTTGATAGCCTATAACAGCTCCCTAGATACAAAAGTCTGTTCTTCAGGAGAAACGGAGACAGAAGCAGGCAGAGATGAAACACGAGAGAATCTCAGCTATCAAATCAGGGACTGATGACAAAACTCAGATAGCCCCAGCAGCATAAAGCAACGGTAACACATGAGGGTTGAACCTTCCTTTTGACCCTAGAGGAGCACTCATACATTTGAACGGTCCACTCACGGTATCCGACCCCAGTATCAGCGTCTCTCACCATCAATGACCGGAATCGAAAGACTTCCTAGATCATTGCTGCCTTTGCCTCTCGAGAGCTCATCCTTATAAACAGCTGCGTGCTCTATCACCCCAGAAGTACGATGGAATTGTCAAAACAATGGGTAGGCTGACCACCATAAATATTATCATATACACCTGGATCCAGCCCTTCGACTGGACCCAATCTACCGCAACGTAGAGGAAGACAAGGCCAATGGCATTCTTCGCCACGTTGACAATGACAAGAACTTCGGATGCAAAGGCGGGATAACAGTCGACAAGGTAGGTCACTGCCACATTTGGCGCGTATACGGCGCCAAATGCCACAGAACGCCAGGCGGTGTCCGCCCATTCATCGTCAAAGCCAGGGTCGACAGGAGTAAGGCAAAGAGAGAAGAGGTGTAAAGAAGTGGAAGAACTGACCCATGCCGAATCCGACTGCGATGAATGCCCAGTAGGGTTTCCTGTCACTGGTGAGTGCCACGACAATGCAGCCAATAGGCCCAATGAATGAATCGGCCCCATGGATACTAGCCGTAGCTCTGGTACAAATACACCGCGGTTTCGCTTGGTCATCCGGGCCGTAATTAAGTCGCAGACGTACCCGCCGCCGAAGGTGGAGAGAGTGAAGCCGATGATGGCGGAGATTTGCATTAGGCCCACGCTGCTAACTGGGAATAGGTAAGGAGGCGCCATGAGAAGTGATGGGAGGGCTAATCTAAGCCGCCATATGTTCGCAAGCCAACCGTCCCGCGATACAATGTCGCGGGGCTCACAAAAAAGAACCACTAGCGACGAGAGGGCGCTGGCATAAACAAACACTCCCTAAAGAACAACCAAGAATGGTAGGAAAA